AGCAGGAACCAATGAGGTTCATTCTCGTGTTACGCAGCATGTTTGAGCTTCAGCATAAACCAATGAGGTTCATTCTCGTGTTACGCAGCATGTTTGAGCTTCAGCAAGAACCAATGAGGTTCATTCTCGTGTTACGCAGCATGTTTGAGCTTCAGCAAGAACCAATGAGGTTCATTCTCGTGTTACGCAGCATGTTTGAGCTTCAGCAAGAACCAATGAGGTTTATTCTCGTGTTACGCAGCACGTTTGAGCTTCTGCAGGAACCAATGAGGTTCATTCTCGTGTTACGCAGCACGTTTGAGCTTAAGCAAGAACCAATGAGGTTCATTCTCTTGTTACGCAGCACGTTTGAGCTTAAGCAAGAACCAATGAGGTTCATTCTCATGTTACGCAGCACGTTTGAGCTTCTGTAAGAACCAATGAGGTTCATTCTCGTGTTACGCAGCACGTTTGAGCTTAAGCAAGAACCAATGAGGTTCATTCTCGTGTTACGCAGCACGTTTGAGCTTCTGCAGGAACCAATGAGGTTCATTCCCGTGTTACGCAGCACGTTTGAGCTTAAGCAAGAACCAATGAGGTTCATTCTCTTGTTACGCAGCACGTTTGAGCTTAAGCAAGAACCAATGAGGTTCATCCTCGTGTTACGCAGCACGTTTGAGCTTCTGCAGGAACCAATGAGGTTCATTCTCGTGTTACGCAGCACGTTTGAGCTTAAGCAAGAACCAATGAGGTTTATTCTCGTGTTACGCAGCACGTTTGAGCTTAAGCAAGAACCAATGAGGTTCATTCTCTTGTTACGCAGCACGTTTGAGCTTCTGCAGGAACCAATGAGGTTCATTCCCGTGTTACGCAGCACGTTTGAGCTTCAGCAAGAACCAATGAGGTTCATTCTCGTGTTACGCAGCACGTTTGAGCTTCAGCAGGAACCAATGAGGTTCATCCTCGTGTTACGCAGCACATTTGAGCTTCAGCAAGAACCAATGAGGTTCATTCTCGTGTTACGCAGCATGTTTGAGCTTCAGCAAGAACCAATGAGGTTTATTCTCGTGTTACGCAGCACGTTTGAGCTTCAGCAGGAACCAATGAGGTTCATTCTCGTGTTACGCAGCATGTTTGAGCTTCAGCAAGAACCAATGAGGTTCATTCTCGTGTTACGCAGCATGTTTGAGCTTCAGCAAGAACCAATGAGGTTCATTCTCGTGTTACGCAGCATGTTTGAGCTTCAGCAAGAACCAATGAGGTTCATTCTCGTGTTACGCAGCATGTTTGAGCTTCAGCAAGAACCAATGAGGTTTATTCTCGTGTTACGCAGCACGTTTGAGCTTCTGCAGGAACCAATGAGGTTCATTCTCGTGTTACGCAGCACGTTTGAGCTTCTGTAAGAACCAATGAGGTTCATTCTCGTGTTACGCAGCACGTTTGAGCTTAAGCAAGAACCAATGAGGTTCATTCTCGTGTTACGCAGCACGTTTGAGCTTCTGCAGGAACCAATGAGGTTCATTCCCGTGTTACGCAGCACGTTTGAGCTTCAGCAGGAACCAATGAGGTTCATTCTTGTGTTACGCAGCACGTTTGAGCTTCTGCAAGAACCAATGAGGTTCATTCTCGTGTTACGCAGCACGTTTGAGCTTAAGCAAGAACCAATGAGGTTCATTCTCGTGTTACGCAGCACGTTTGAGCTTCAGCAGGAACCAATGAGGTTCATTCCCGTGTTACGCAGCACGTTTGAGCTTAAGCAAGAACCAATGAGGTTCACTCTAGTGTTATGCAGCACGTTTGAGCTTCAGCAGGAACCAATGAGGTTCATTCCCGTGTTACGCAGCACGTTTGAGCTTAAGCAAGAACCAATGAGGTTCACTCTAGTGTTATGCAGCACGTTTGAGCTTCTGCAGGAACCAATGAGGTTCATTCCCGTGTTACGCAGCACGTTTGAGCTTCAGCAGGAACCAATGAGGTTCATTCTTGTGTTACGCAGCACGTTTGAGCTTCTGCAAGAACCAATGAGGTTCATTCTCGTGTTACGCAGCACGTTTGAGCTTAAGCAAGAACCAATGAGGTTCATTCTCGTGTTACGCAGCACGTTTGAGCTTCAGCAGGAACCAATGAGGTTCATCCTCGTGTTACGCAGCACGTTTGAGCTTCTGTAAGAACCAATGAGGTTCATTCTCGTGTTACGCAGCACGTTTGAGCTTAAGCAAGAACCAATGAGGTTTATTCTCGTGTTACGCAGCACGTTTGAGCTTCAGCAGGAACCAATGAGGTTCATCCTCGTGTTACGCAGCACGTTTGAGCTTCTGCAGGAACCAATGAGGTTCATTCTCGTGTTACGCAGCACGTTTGAGCTTAAGCAAGAACCAATGAGGTTCATTCTCGTGTTACGCAGCACGTTTGAGCTTAAGCAAGAACCAATGAGGTTCATTCTCTTGTTACGCAGCACGTTTGAGCTTAAGCAAGAACCAATGAGGTTCATTCTCATGTTACGCAGCACGTTTGAGCTTCTGTAAGAACCAATGAGGTTCATTCTCGTGTTACGCAGCACGTTTGAGCTTAAGCAAGAACCAATGAGGTTCATTCTCGTGTTACGCAGCACGTTTGAGCTTCTGCAGGAACCAATGAGGTTCATTCCCGTGTTACGCAGCACGTTTGAGCTTCAGCAGGAACCAATGAGGTTTATTCTCGTGTTACGCAGCACGTTTGAGCTTCAGCAGGAACCAATGAGGTTCATTCTTGTGTTACGCAGCACGTTTGAGCTTCTGCAAGAACCAATGAGGTTTATTCTCGTGTTACGCAGCACGTTTGAGCTTAAGCAAGAACCAATGAGGTTCATTCTCGTGTTACGCAGCACGTTTGAGCTTTAGCAGGAACCAATGAGGTTCATCCTCGTGTTACGCAGCACGTTTGAGCTTTAGCAGGAACCAATGAGGTTCATCCTCGTGTTACGCAGCACGTTTGAGCTTCTGTAAGAACCAATGAGGTTCATTCTCGTGTTACGCAGCACGTTTGAGCTTAAGCAAGAACCAATGAGGTTCATTCTCGTGTTACGCAGCACGTTTGAGCTTCAGCAGGAACCAATGAGGTTCATCCTCGTGTTACGCAGCACGTTTGAGCTTCTGCAGGAACCAATGAGGTTCATTCTCGTGTTACGCAGCACGTTTGAGCTTCAGCAAGAACCAATGAGGTTCATTCTCGTGTTACGCAGCACGTTTGAGCTTCAGCAAGAACCAATGAGGTTAATTCTCGTGTTACGCAGCACGTTTGAGCTTCAGCAGGAACCAATGAGGTTTGTTCTCACCCGTTAAGCGGGCCAAGTTAAGCTTCTGTTTATGTTCCCTGATCAATGTTTATATGAGAATTAAAGTCTGAATTTAATCTGGTTATCATATAGTTATCCAGTCTCTTCAGAATATTTGGACTAAACCGCTCGATCCATATGCATTCGTTTTACGATCTCTTTATGAACTTTTTGAAGCGACAAAGTGGTATTTACGTAGCTGTCAACAGAAGGACAGAAAGCTTTCAGATTTCATTAAAAACATAATTTGTGTTTCGAAGATAGATGAACGAAAGTCTTACAGGTTTAGAACGTATGAGTGAGTATATGATAAAAAAAATCATTTTGAATGAACTAACCCTTATAATTACTGCTTTAACTATCAACAAGATTTTAAAAAGGCAGCAATACCTACAACAGTAACCTAAAACAGTGTCAATTGAGAGGCAGTTATTACATTTTGATGAAAGATTTTGGAAACATTTTATTTTACAGTGTCCTTGTTACAAGTTACATGCAGTATAGCTACTATAATAATAACTGTAAGTTACACATTATTACATGCAACTAACCCTGAACCAAAATCTCATCCTAACCCTATATAGTATAGGTAGTTAGTTAAAGGCACACTATGCAAGAATTGTACCTTAATATAACAGCTTCAAAGTAATTTCGGTGGTAAACAAACTCATAGTAGGGCGAATCATCCTGGTAGTAAAGCTTGGGGGGGACGCCGCTGGAAAAACCAGTAATACGAGTTTGAGAGGAGCCCCCCCCCCCCGACAAATCTCGCGAGAATCACGAGTCACGACATGCTTTACAGCAACGACGTCACACACATTAACAACAACATATGAAGCACGAAGACACTTGCGCGCATTTCAGACATGATACTCGACGATGAAAAAAAGCTAAGAAAACACAGTCGGAAGAGACTAGGAAAAGAGAATGAGCCTCTCTGCTCAAGTTTTGTTTGAGTTCTTTAATGGTCTAGTGGTAGATCTTTTGCCAAGCGTGTCAGAGGTTACAGGTTGTAAGTTTTTTCTCTCTCATCAAAACTGAATATGTTCATCAGTGGTTACAGTCTATAGCAGGGACACGTTTTTGTGCATTTTATTTTGTGATTTCACCGGAATGAATAGAGAGTCTCCGCAGCGGCAATAGATTGAAGAGCGCGTCCGAGTGAAGACTGCACGCCACAGAGAACACTGTATCCATGACACTGATAGCAGCGGACACGAGCGCTCAGCTTGAGTTCAAAAACACATTTTAGCGCTCTCTTATTTAATTCAAAAAATGCACACTATGAAAGATTTGTACCTTAATATAACAGCTTCAAAGGGGTATCAGGCTGTGAGTGCAGAGACCAGACTATGGCAGAGACGCTCTGCGTGAGTGGTATTTACGACAGTAACGTTAAATACAAGTACTCCACAGCGACTATAGGGGTCGCTGTTTGACAAAAACGGAATTCCTACATAGTGTGCCTTTAATATTACACAGTACTTAAATGTATTATTACACTTTAACAATGTTCTGTGTAATCGTGCTCAAAGCCCCGACACATCACTTTCAGTTTCATTGTGAACAGAAAAATCACTTGTTGCTCGTAACTTGACGCATCACATTATTCTGATTTAACATTATTGCTAGCTCTTCTCTCTGAAATGCTAATGATCTGTGAATGGCTGCTGATGCATTAGTGTGTGAGTTTGGTTGGCACACCCACCGTGAGGATGAGGCATGGGCATATGCATGTGCATAGGCATAGGAATAGGCTTGGGACCTTCGCCTGGGACGTGCGGAGGAACAAACCCAGGTGTGGCTTCATAAGGTGGAGGCCCGTATTCTGGAGGCAGCGGCTGTCCTTGTGGAGGTCCTGTCATTACTGGAGCAGAGGCTGCTGAGGGAAACAGCTTTATGTCAATTATTTATTTTTTAATTACAGAATTCCTGTATCCCTCCTGCTAGACTTGCTCCTCTCATAATTAATCATAAACATGCAGTGGTGTCCAAACATATGAGACCACTAGTGAAATGGCAAATGGTGTTAATGTGCAGTGCATTAATGAATAATAGTATTTTTTTTTATTCAATACAACATTCTTCCTTACAAATTAGCCTACTATATCAGCCAATATGAGTGAAAATGTGTGGAACAAACCACAAAACCCATTTTCATTTTTCAACAACAGCAGCGATCGAGCTGCATGATCTCCACAAGTTTGAATCAAACCTGATGAGTTTAAAGTTTAAATCCGTTTTCAATGGTCACAAAATGTATTAGTGATCTATTGCAGGATCCTGTGGTGACAGACTTTATGATTCCACTGTAAATCAAAGTACAGTTTTATACACAGACTGCAGTGTGGTTTCAACAAGACATTTTACAGAGTTAATATATTCATATGTATAGTCTTTCCTGCTCACACCAACGTGATGTTAATAATAATAGTTATTATTGTTGTTATTATTTCATCATTGAACATATGTTGCTATAATTAAGTGAAACAAAAGAAATCTAGTTCCATGCAATTCTAGTGGCCCATTGAAAGGTTGTGAGGAAAGTGTTTACATTCAAGTTGCCATGGTTTCCTAGAACAACGTTTTGAAATATCTGCACCAATGAGCTAATGATGGTGACGAGCATTTCTTCAAGCCATTGCACCTATTAAAAGCAGGTTTAAAAAGTAGAAGTTCATTTCAAATGTCTAAGGAGAAGAGAAAAATATCAAGGTATTTACCAGAAACTGGAGGTTGTCCATTTTTTTCCTCAAGAAGTGGGGCATTGGGGCCGCCTGGGTAAGGAGGAGGGGGGTCACTGGACATGTTGGTTCCCTGGAAGGAGGCCAGATAAGGGAGCTTCTAGGGTGAACACAGACAGGCCACGTGGTTCAATAAGCATCCCGGACTACTGTTGCTGAGGCATTTCACATCCAATTATTAATTTGCAGATGCTCACTGCCTCAACATTCCCACGAGCCCACAAATAAATCAACATACATAAGCATGAAATATCTAGCCTTGTGGACAAAGATTTTCTTTGCACTTTAGACTAATAAAGGGGTTTCCAATCCTTCTTCCGGAGGGCCACTGTCCTGAAGAGTTTAGCTCCCACCCCAATTAAACACACCTGATCCAGCTAATCCAGGTCTTTGGCATACTAGAAACTTCCAGGCAGGTGTGTTGAGGCAAGCTGGCGCTAAACTCTGCAGGATAGAGGCGCTCCAGGAGCGAGTTTGGACACCTCTTTTTTTAGATTCTCCTTCCACTCATCGTTTGTGAAGTGGTGCAAGTCAACGTCCCACCAGACCTTGCCTCAGACTCCTTGTCGGCTTGTTTTGGGCGTTATACTGCTTGATAAAAATATAAGCAGCACGGCACAAAGCTTCATGTGCTCGTCGTCTCTAAATTAGGACCTGAAATAGATATTTAGTCTGCTTTTTAAAACAAAGAAATTGTAGGAGGATGATTAGTCTCAAAAGATCATTTCTGATTTGAAGCTTGTGACAATCAACCCGATCGCTTTATTTAGCGTTCATATAAACACAATATGTTTGGATTCATCAATCATCAACACTACCGTTCAAAAGTTTAGGGTCTGTAAGATTTTAATACTTTTATTCAGCAAGGATGTATTAAATGAATCAATTATGACAGTGAAGACATTTAGAACATAACAAAAGATTTACATTTCAAATACATGCTGTTCTTTTGGACTTTCTATTCATCATGAAAATAAAATGGTTTCCACAAAAATATTCATTGATAATAATAAGAAATGTTGCTTGAGCAGCAAATCATCATATAAGAGTGATTTCTGAAGGATCATGTGACACTGAAGACTGGAGGAATGATGCTGAAAATTCAGCTTTGACATCACAGGAATAAATTACATTTTAAAATATATTCAAATAGGAAACAGTTATTTTAAATGATAATGATATTATTTCACTATATTACTGTTTTATTGCATTTTTAATCAAATAAATGGAGCCTTGTAAGAGACTTCTTTGAAAAACATTTTTAAAAAATCGTACCTACCCCAAACGTTTGAATGGTATCCCGTATAATCCTCATGCCTATATATATATATCCCTGAATAATTCTACCTATCGGTTAAAGGTTAGTTAGTTCAACTAATCAAGCCTCTTCTTGTACCAAACACCATTACAGCTAAGAAATCTAGACATAAATCAAAAACAGAAGAATTCAATAAGTCACTACAATGCAGCGCAATGTTATGGAATATGTACAATCTCTTGGCTTAAGTAGACAGTTTTGGCCTTTAAGAAGTTAAAGTAACAACAATACAGTAGGGCACAGTATTCTTAGAACCTCAGATATGTGGGTCAAGACTAACCAGATATCAAATATTGTGTCCTTTGTGTGAAATATGTGTCCTTTCATAAATAAAATTAACTTGTCAAAGTTTAAGGGAAATAAATGCAAATGAAAAACAAGATCCTGGGAGAAACCGCACCTCATTTGAAAACCAAATCGAAGTAACTAAGACTAAACCTGTCATCTTCAATCCTTATTCCTTAGTTATAATAGTGGCATAACTGCATATGTGGCATTATTATGGTTTGCATCAAATACTTATAATCAGATATTAACATAAAATAATTAATCATTAAAATGGCTAGTCATAGGTGTGTCCTGGTAAACAGGTGATATGACTACACATTATCTCATTTGCACTTTCTTGGAATGATTACCACCAGCCAATAGGGATGAAGCAGGAAATGCAAAAATAAAGCATGTGACTACTACTATATGTGGAGCGTATAAATATTGCGTGAGCCTAATGTCCATTAGCTTATGTAGTCAGAGTAACTCGTTGCCCAGTTCACATCCTGTATTACTTAGGATAATGGAAATGAATTACACAGAAAGCTTCTCCGTATAACCGCAAACTATGGCAACATTTCTGATGCATTGCCACCGTGTCATTAGAACATTCGAAAAATATCTGATACAAAACTATAGATATAACACCCTGTTGATTAAAACCATTATAACGTTGAGTGTTTAATCCATACTGAACATCAGCTTATACACTTTCATTTCATATAGAGCATTTCATAAAGCTACCTTTCCACCTTTTTCCTAACAAGCCTAAATTATGAGAGGGACTTTTGGTTTGGGGAAGTTCCACTCAAAGAAGCGAAAAACGAATCATTTCAAAATCATAAGGTTGAGCTACAAATAATCCTGATCCGTCAGTTTGACCGAATGAGCTGTAATTCATGTTAATAACGTAACACTTGGTATTTTAATGTGACATTGTATAACAAGAATATCTATGACTAGAGCTATTTTCAGTCATTACATTCTTTTCCTTCTGATTCTTTTCCTTTTTATTCAGCTGTAGTTAAAAAAAAGACAACACATACTGCGCATTTGTGGTCTGTTCTTCCGATTTAATTTGTGCTATCCAATGAATAATGCACTGCAGAATTGTAAGAATATCTTGTTTTTCTCCCCAAATCCTCACGTCTCTTTCCAGGTTTGTTTTCACACGGATATTTAAAAATGTAATTGTCTCCCCTTTTCACTTCTAATCCGTATTAGCAGTGTTTACTGGAATGTTTCTAAAACGGGTAAAAAATACAATATTTATTGTCTGTCAAAATGACGGAAATCACTTGGAAATATTATCACTCAATGTTCCAGTTAAATAACATTTTTTATTAAAGCAACGCTCCAGAAATAATCAAGCTTTTGGGGAATTCCTGGTCTGTTGAAGTCATTTGTTAATGCTTTTATACTTTTAAATTTCCTTATAAAGGAAAATTCCCTCTTAATGATCAATGGTTGAAGGAATAATGTCTTCTTAGGCCTACATTGTATTTGAAAATGTTTATTATTGCGTTTGTGGAGTGAACCTTTCGCTTTTGTTTACAATTTAACATAGGCTAAGTTATACTTCACATCCAGGAAAAAGGTGGATAGGCCTAGCCTGGGAAAACCCAGACAACTTCCGGCAAATTTAGATTTGCTCTGAAAGTTAGTCTGGCAAAGAGCTCATTCAAGCCCATTTCCAATCCGTCGAAATCGCGGCACCAATCAGAAACGTTGGGGCGGGCTTTACACGATGACGACAGCGCTGGGATTTTGAAGCAGATTTTGTAGCCTACATTACAAAGATGGATGCCGCCGTCGAACATCACTCGTTCGAATCAGCTATCGCGTCTGTTTTAAGCGATTTGAACGTTTCCTTTTTGTTAAAAACAGAGCAAAGAACAACACTCGGAGATGTTTCTCCGCCGCTCTGCATACGTCATCTCCTTCATCGCTCTGATTGGGTTTAGGTCTATCCGCGACATCTGTTGGTGACGCCCCTTTGGAAATGATTTGTCTATGACGCTTTGCCAGACCATAACTCAGTTACAACTGAGAATGGTCTGGTTTTAACCAGGCTAGGATAGGCCAGTGTTGGTCCTGATCTACAGCAGATAAACAGTAACTCAACAAAAATATGTTCTAAGAACGTTTTGCTAATGTTCCCATTGAGTTATGAAAATGTTATTTTGAACATTTTCTGAAAGTTTCAAATGATTTAAAAAGTTTTTTTCTTGGTTATATCAACATTAAGTGAACATTCCATTTAGTAATTTTGCACACAATTAGGCCTATGGGAATGTTACTTTTGAATGTTCTCTGAATATAATGAAACAAGTAGTAACATTTAAAAATAAACGTTGAACAAACTAAAACGCATAGATCGTGAACGACGGCTATAGGCTAAATAACTTTTTTGTGAACATTATTAAAGACTAGATAACTTTTAACAAACCGTTTAGTAACGTTAGAAGGAAGAAAGTTGGCAGAATTTTAGCCAAAGCTTTGAGAACGTTCCCTGTTAGCTGGGAAACCATTTGTTTTGTGTAAAAATTGGATAATTCAATAATTCTTACAACTTTTATGTGTTTGAAACACGCACTTGGCATAGCTTTATATATTAAGGCGATACACTACAGGCAAAAACACTTTTTTCATGCATCCGTCAATTTTGAGATTTTGGGCTTTTTGGCTTTTCATAAAGTGTTATTTCAGACTAGTGGAAAGAAAATATCCAAAATACACTTTGAAGTGTATCTTTCATAGCACTTTTTTGATTTGCGCCTGTAGATTTCAATTACTGGTCATATGTTTAAAGGCTTTCTAAAAATGAGTCAGAAATCTACACTTCAGAAGCTTACATACACCAAACTTTACAGTTTTATCCCTATTTTACATAGGGGTTTGTTCATATATAATTTGCCTGTTTTTATAAAACATTTTATTCCTTAAAAGAAATTGTGAAAATGTTTTGTTTTTTTCAGCTATTTCTTTTTTTTCTAATATGTTTCTGGTACTGTCAAAATTTTCTGATTTATGGAAACAATCAACTGGGGAAGTATGGTGACATCTACTAGTTCATTTTTACCCTATTCACCTGGGGGGGGGGGGGGGGGTATAGCCTTAACTTTGTGTTATAGGTATTTTACCAATTATAATATTAAGAAGATTAGCGACAGCTTTTAAACTTTTAAACGTGCTGAAATGAGCGAGCAGCACATGAGTTGGTGTGTTTGTTCTGGTGTTTTCTGGAATAGAGATCAGCGATTATCCATCGCCGCTGGCACTGATTACATAACACACTGCCCTAACCTTCATGTCTTCACTATTACTCAACTTTCACTGTGATTCACCTTAACATAGAACGATAGTGTTGCAAATAGCTATTTGTGTCTGGCCTCATCATCAATGTAAAGAAAACGGGAGTTACTTTATTTGGTCTAAAAATAAGTCCCGGTCTCTACACTGACAGCACACAAGTGTAGAGTGACTCGCACTATTGCATATACATGCAATACTCATTCATCGCAGCAGCAAGCCTTGCTAGCACATATCTCTCAGCCATTTAACTTAGTCATATTAACATAAAAGCACGACACATGTAAATCCATCTGTTAGAAATTCAAGCGAAACGTAACAACTTTCAGAGGGCGATATACATCTTTAGCGATTAAAATCCATGGGCGATTGATAGGCTATTCGTGAATGGTGCGAGCACAGGCCTGCGGTTGCAGATCATAACGCCGCCAGCGCACAAAAACACAAAGCAATATTCATACAAGCGACGTGCTGTTACCTTCTGTATCCACGGCGTCAATCAAAATATCAGCTTTGCGAACTTTCCGATTTCTAGCTTAAACGTTGATGCTTTGTGGCTCCAGTTTTCCAATAACATCCGCTGCTGGGAAGGATTTGACGTAAACATGGGAGATGGGAGGTGTAAAAAGTGTCTGTGAGAATCCAACTGGCGATTTATTTTACTATGGCGAAGGATTAGATTATGAATATTAAGTAGGCCACGTGAGTGGACGCTCTCGCAGGGTTACTAGGCAACGTCAGCATTACGTAATTATTATTCATGCTTTAAGCCTTCGCCGTAGTAGGATTTTTAAGTAGGTAAGTGTTGAGTCCGTTTACTCTATTTTATTGAGCTGCTTGTGCGGCACTTTAATGCATCTATGGCATAAGAACGTCAATAATTTACACTTCAAATGGTGAGGTTTTATTGAAATAATTTTGCAACGGAGTACTTGATTCTGATTGGTCAATCGTTGGTCAGGTGATCAAATAACGTTACTTCTGAACTTTGATTATGGCAACGCTGCTCATCCATCCCCATATAGATCCATCCAGGAAACCTGTTTGTTTCCTAAAAAGAAGGGGTCATATTTTGTCAAACCACAAACCTTTATAACCACAAACTAATGGTTATTTTTAGGTTTTCATTTTATAACCGAAAACTAACTTTCCTAGACTTTCTCGGAAACAATATTTTTCTATCATGGTCATTCTTCAACTGTGTTGGCAAACGAAACATTTTTAAAAATCGAAAAGCGCTCCCCTATACTGTTGACAACCTGTGTAACAATATTTGTATACCACTAGTTCTTAAAAGAAAGGTGTTTAATTTCTCATCGTGGCCTCTGTTGTCACCAAAGGAGAATAGTTCTCTTACGAGAGGTTCTCTCGTATTGCGTAAGCTAGCTTACGCTGCGGGAAAGATTCATCTTTGCTGAGATATTGAAGCCAAAAAATTATTTCATAATTTTGTATCCATACACAACGCAGTTCCTCTGCGGCAGACCTAGAGCGGGCTAGCTAGCAGCTCATTGGTTCGCTCAGAGAGAACTGCTTAAGCCTATGGGAGAGCGGGGCTGAACCCGCTTCCAATGAGAGGCGCCCGCGCGCTCATTGCGTCATGACCCGCCAGAATGGGCGTGGCCATGGTGTATATAAGGCGCTCTCCCAGGCTTATATGTTGATTCATTTCATCTTCAGCAAGCTGCACGCTTCTGCTGTTCCTGAGAAAAGCCATCGCCGTCGAAGAAGGCATCCTCTAGCGAGCTCAAGGACCCTGAAGAAGCCGGCCGTCTTCGCCACCTTCAGCCGCCCAGCAAGCTAGGCCATCCGACGATTGTATCCTTTCTCTATTTCTAAAAGAGCCGAGCGTCTTTTTAAAGATGTCTCGTTTTTCCTGCGGCTCTTGCCGCGCTCGTCTCGAGGACGGAGACCGCCATGTCATCTGCGCTCTCTGCTTGGGACTCGAGCATGCAGAACTCGCCCTCGCTGATGGAGGATGCGACCTCTGTGAAAGCCTGCCGTTATCGTCCCTGCGGGCACGACTTCTGGCAGTGAAAACCGCTCCCGTGCCGCCTATTCTCTCGCCGCGTAAAAAGAAACGCCGCTCTCAAAGGCCGCCGGAGCCCCCAGCGGAAACATGCGGGCCGCCGCCGCCGCCTCCCGCTTCCCGCTCTCCCTCCCCGCCCCTGCCGGACATTCAGTTGCCGCCGAGTGGCCGCTCTGTTGTTTCCGATGACGCCGCGGAGGAGAAGGACTCCTGTTCACTGCTCGCTTCTGACAGTGAAGACTGGTCATCTCTCGGATCCGCGAGAGAGTCGACGGGGACCCGCGCCGGGATAGAAGAGGAGCTGATGCGCCTCCTCTCACAGGCCGTCGAACGCCTCGGTCTCGAGTGGTCTCCTCCACCCGAGCAGGCCCCGAACCGAATGGACGGTAGCTTTTTTCATCGGCGCTCGACCCCCGCGTGCACCCGGGCCGCTCCATTCCTGCCTGAACTTCACGCAGAGCTGACAAAATCCTGGAATGCACCGCTCTCGGCTAGAAATCGCTCCGATGTATCCGCCGCGCTGCGCTCGGTGGACGGAGCCGCCGAGAAAGGCTATGCAGCCATGCCGCCCGTCGAGGACTTGGTCGCCACACACCTCTGCCCGCCCTCCGCTAGATGGCGTTCTTCACCCACGCTTCCTTCGAAGGCTTGCAGAGCGACCTCGAGCTTTCATGCTCGCGCTTACGCCGCCGCCGGTCAGGCCGCCGCTGCGCTTCACTCTATGTCTGTCCTCCAAGTGTTACAGAGCGATATTCTCCGTGAATGGGCCGAAGGCGGTAGAAAAAACCCCCCCGCCGTCACGGATTTGAGAAGTGCTACGGATCTCGCCCTTCGCGCCACTAAAGCCGCCGCACAAGCTCTGGGGAAATGCATGGCCAGCCTTTGTGTTGCTGAGAGACACTTATGGCTCACGCTCGCCGACATGGGAGATTCTGAGCGCGCCGCGTTTCTCAACGCGCCCCTCTCCCCGACGGGCCTGTTTGGATCTGCCGTCACGGGAATTGTCGATCGCTTTTCTGAAGTGCAGAAAGCTTCTCAGGCGATGAACTTGTTTCTACCCCGCCGCGCTAGCTCTTCAGCGGGCCGCTCTCACGAGCCCTCCGCCAGAGCCCCATCACAGCGCCCCCCTCCGCAGACTCAAACAACTCAGCGCAGTCAGAGCGGCCGCCCTCGCCCTCGCTCTCGCTCTGACAGCCGCCGCAGACCGCCGCCCCCCCGTGGCCCGCGACCTAAGATCACGCTGAAGCCTGATCATCAGAAGTCTGCCTAACAATGTCAAGAAAACGACGGTGCTCTCCCGCCGCGGCCGGACCGCCGTCAAAGCTTCGCCCTCTGCCAGTCCCCGTTATTTCGCCGACTGCTGTAGTGTTGACCGCCACAAACAAGCCGGTGTCCCAGCCCGCTTGCGAGCGTCAAAAAGCCGTTTTTACGGCTACCCAGAGAAACCTCAAAAAGAGAAATTTTGCCAGTTGTGTAGAAAATGTGCCCACAATCATGTGTTCACCCATACACACAAGCATAACATATCCCGTGTCTCTATCAGAGCCCCATCACATGAAACGGGCACAGCCCGCTCTAATATCAGAGAACATAAACACGCCCACGAGCTCGTGCACGTGTCCCCTCTCTGCTCGCTCTGTGTCACGGCCCATAGACTCCTCTCTGAGTGCAAATCCCGTTGCCACACACATTCAAAGCGCGCCCACACACTGTGTCCAGCCCGCTATGTGCAGCAATCAGGGCAATACAGCCATTCGGCCACTAGCCGCATGCTCCAAAGCGTGGGAAGCCATTCCAGGCATTTCCCCGTGGGTGTTAAGCATTATAAAGAACGGCTACCTGCTACAGTTTCGCCGCCGCCCGCCTCGTGCGCGCGCGCAGCTCGAATCTTCTGTCAGCCCGCTGGTCGCCGGCACGCTCCGCTCAGAAATTGCGACGCTGTTGCAAAAGGGCGCGATAGAGAGAGTCCCGCCATCTATGACCGAGTCGGGGTTTTACGGCCGTTATTTTCTGGTTCCCAAGAAAGACGGCGGCCTCAGACCGATCTTAGATCTCAGGTCTTTGAACAAAGCGCTCATGAAGAGACCGTTCAAGATGCTCACTACCAGGAAACTCCTCGCGCAGGTGCGCCAAGGGGACTGGTTCATATCTCTAGACCTGAAAGACGCCTATTTTCAGATCCAGATAAATCCCCGTCACAGGCCATTCTTACGTTTCGCCTTCGAGGGTCTTGTTTATCAATACGCCGTTCTCCCGTTCGGCTTATCTCTGGCGCCCCGTACATTCACGAAGTGCATGGATACGGCGCTCGCCCCCCTGCGAAGCCAGGGGCTGCGCATTCTGAATTATCTGGACGACTGGCTGATTTTGGCCCAATCACAGACGGAGCTTCTGTCGCACCGCGCAGTTCTCCTCGACCATTTGGAAACGCTGGGCCTCTCTGTCAACTGGACAAAGAGCTCCCTTCATCCCAGTCAATCGATTTCCTTCCTAGGAATAGATTTGGACTCGGGCACGTTGACGGCTCGCCTGTCTACACAGCGCGCGCGCAGTGTTCAGCGTCTAGCCGCCTCGTTCCAGATGGGCACCCGCAGGCCTCTGAAAACTTTTCAGAGGATGCTGGGTTACATGGCCTCAGCCTCCGCTGTACTTCAGCTGGGCCTTCTGCACATGCGCCCGCTTCAGTTCTGGTTGAACAGCCGTGTACCCCACCGCGCGTGGAACACGGGTCGCCAGCTGATCAGGGTTACGCAAACGTGTCTCACGGCGCTGCAGCCATGGACAGTAGCAGAATGGTTTCGTCTAGGCGTCACGATGGGGACCTTTTCCTGCCGAAAAGTCATCTCGACAGATGCATCCAACATGGGTTGGGGTGCAGTCTGCGAGGGCTCACCGGCCTTCGGCCACTGGTCGATTCAGGAAAGCCCATTACATATAAACTGTCTGGAAATGCTGGCGGTCGAGAACGCGCTCTCGCACTTTCTCCCGCGCATCCAGGGACACCACGTCCTGATCCGTTCGGACAATATGGCCGTGGTCTCCTATCTCAACCGTCAGGGCGGTGTTAGATCCAGAAATCTCTGTCGACTGACGCACCGCATTCTAGTTTGGTCTCAGAGCCGCCTGCTCTCGCTCAGAGCGACGCACGTGCCGGGCCATCTGAACGACGGTCCAGACATACTGTCCAGGAACCTCATCTCCACAGGAGAATGGTCCCTGAACTCACAGACGGTCCAGTTACTGTGGCGACTATTCGGCAGAGCAGAAGTAGACCTCTTCGCGTCAGAAGAGAACGCTCACTGCCCAATATATTTCTCGAAGAGCGAGGACGCGCTAGCCCAGGAATGGCCTCGCCGCCCGCTCTATGCATTCCCTCCGATCGCTCTGTTACCACAGGTAATTCAGAGGATCAGGGACACACGCCACTCGGTGCTCCTCATAGCCCCGCGTTGGGAGAGTCAGAATTGGGTTCCGGAGCTCACGCAGCTGTCACAGACAGCCCCGTGGCCCATCCCAGTCAGAGCAGATCTCCTCTCTCAAGCTCGCGGCACGATCTGGCACCCCCATCCACAGCGCTGGGCGCTGCATGCATGGGTGATCAACGACTATTCGTTGATTTGCCAGAGGGAGTAAGAAACACTATCATACAGGCTAGAGCACCTTCCACGAGAAGGCTCTATGCGTCTAAATGGTCTGTGTTCTCAAAATGGTGCACCGACAAACAGCTGGACCCACGGTCGTGCGAGGTGCCGTCTTTGCTTGTTTTCCTTCAAGAGATGCTGGACAAGGGCAGGTCCCCCTCCACTCTCAAGGTTTATGTGGCAGCCGTCGCGGCGTTCGCGGAACCCCGACGCGCTCAGTCATTGGGCAAAGACGAGTTAGTCATCCGCTTCCTCAGGGGAGCTAAGAGGATGAACCCTCCGCGGCCCCCGTCGGTTCCGGTTTGGGATCTTTCTATAGTCCTTGAAGCTATGAAAGCACCCCCGTTCGAACCGCTCGAGTCTGTGGATCTGAAATACCTCTCGCTCAAAACCGTTTTCCTGACGGCTCTGTCCTCAGTTAAACGCGTTGGGGATCTTCACGCGCTCTCATCCAGCGCCGCGTGTCTTGAGTTTGGACCGAATGATTCGATTGTCATTCTCAAACCTAGGCATGGCTATGTCCCGAAGGCGATTGGTACCCCGTTCAGGGCTCAGATTATCTCCCTATCGGCTCTGCCTTCATCCGATAGTGAGCGCGATGCCAATCTCCTTTGTCCGGTGCGGGCTCTGAGATTGTACACTACGCGCGCTGCCGCGTTCAGACGCGCTGAGCAGCTTTTCGTGTCGTTTGGGGGGCGCACCAAGGGTCTGGCCGCCTCAAAACAGACACTGTCTAGATGGATAGTGGACGCTATCGCCTCTGCTTACGCATCTAAATGCCTGCCCTGCCCTCTGGGCATCAGGGCGCACTCCACTAGAGGCATGGCCTCATCGTGGGCATGGTCCTGTGGAATTTCCATTCATGACATTTGTGTGGCCGCGGGATGGGCCTCCCCGTCCACTTTTGTCAGGTTTTATAACTTGGAAGTTCCCGCCTTGCAGGCAAAATTACTAGCTGTCTGACGAACAGCTCTCTAAGAAGCTGCATTTCTGGAGGTCCCTCACAACCGGTTCGCCCCTTGTGCTCTCCTGTAATGCTTATACACTTCATGTGCCCGCTCTGCTGGCCCCATACATGCTTATGTGTACACTTCATGAGCCCGCTCTGCGGCCTCTTTGTACATTTACTCCACGTTAAGAAATTCCCCCGGTATATCCCTGGGTTTTTCATGAGTGGATTCGTAGCGCGCACGGCGTTGGCCAGGTGTTCCCGCAGCGTAAGCTAGCTTACGCAATACGAGAGAACCTCTCGTAAGAGAACGAATCGGTTACCTAACGTAACCTCGGTTCTCTCTAGAAGAGGGAACGAGTATTGCGTTCCCGGCCGTGCTTGCGCTACTAGCGTTTCGCTTCACGCTGAAATAAATCAACATATAAGCCTGGGAGAGCGCCTTATATACACCATGGCCACGCCCATTCTGGCGGGTCATGACGCAATGAGCGCGCGGGCGCCTCTCATTGGAAGCGGGTTCAGCCCCGCTCTCCCATAGGCTTAAGCAGTTCTCTCTGAGCGAACCAATGAGCTGCTAGCTAGCCCGCTCTAGGTCTGCCGCAGAGGAACTGCGTTGTGTATGGATACAAAATTATGAAATAATTTTTTGGCTTCAATATCTCAGCAAAGATGAATCTTTCCCGCAGCGTAAGCTAGCTTACGCAATACTCGTTCCCTCTTCTAGAGAGAACCGAGGTTACGTTAGGTAACCGATACGTTTTCTTGTGTTTTTTTATTTTATTTTTGCTGGGTTTTTTTCCATAAATAAAAAAAGACAAGAAAAACAGTCTTAGGTACCTATTTTTGCCTAATTTCTGAAGTCTGGAAATGTAAAATTAGACTATTAGATGGCTCCGAAAGAAATTTCAGACACTGTAAAACTTTAATAAAAAAAAAACAATTACTGTATATGATCAATAAATTATGACAACATATGTTTTTACATTTACCTTTAACTATTCAAAATAAGTTAAGCAATTTTCAACTTTTTATGAGTTTATAAGTTTGTATGTCAGTTTAATTGAATTTAAGTTGAAATAACTTAAACATCAAAGTTGATAGCAACTTTTTACAGTGATATAACACCACAGACCTAATATAACACAATTAGAACAAGGTCTCCATCTCTACGCTGTCTATAAAGACGCTGCTGTTCAGCAGCAGATAATACCTGCCTAAAGTGATACAATTGTATGATTATGAATGTCCTAAAACAAATGTTATGCTTTTTAATAAAAATAGAACTGGTTGTATGTTGTCTGTGGAGTTACTATGAAAGACAGTGACACCAGACAGTAACACCGCAGACAAATTAGCACAAATCTAGACTTATCTAAAATGGAGGCTGCTATCATGATGGTTTCAACATAGGGGACATTTAAGAAATATTTATAAGACTGTATCAAAATTTAGATTATATAAAATATGCGTAACACCACAGACTCTAAAAAAAAAGTCTGACATTAAATTGTCCGAAATTTAGCGAAATTGAATAAGAATTGATCACCTTATTACAATGATCAACCACCACCTGCAATGACCTTTACACACAGGAAGTAGTCCCTCCTCAAAGAGTATAGAAGTACCAAGAGGCGAAACTCCATTGCTAACAAACACACCCATGCGCAGAGCTGCAGCTCCGCCATCTTGGACTGAACGCAACACAGCTGTCATAGTATTGAACGATACCGGTTCCAATTCAAAAGCGGTTAAGGGAACTAAATACTAGTTTCTAGTTAATATCTCTATAGCCTAAACTAAAACGGCGTGTTGAATAATGTACAACAAAATAATGCTTATGGATCGGTTTATAATTAACCGGTTTCGTCATAGAGCATGAAGCTGTCAAATAGGCTATTTATTTACCCCAATAACTTTTTGGGATAACTCGCGTTTTCATACACAGCACAATTTTACAACACCAGTAACAACAGCCCAAGGTCCCTTATGAAATGATTGACAAATTCCTTGAAAAAGCCAAACCACAATGAACAGTGAGTAGGTGAAAGGGACAACACATTAGTAAGAGAGAATTTTTAATAGTAATAGAAGATCATCACAAAATTAACAGTAATAAAATTGGTACTGGTGAGTAGATCACCACATCATTTCTGCCTGCATTACACACAACAAATCAAACATTGGGCAAGTAAAGTGCACACATTTACTACAAATAGAATGACAATGGTAAGTATATTAGCTGTTCTATGTTTTAGTCTTTAGTTTTATTATAATTTAATTCATCGGTGGACAGAACCAGGAGACTTAATGACCTTCTGTAGTGTGCGGACAGATGGCATCGAAAAGACTTTGCAGAGTAGCCGATAACACTTAGGACTGGCATGCAGGAGAGACAAGAAAAAGGCTTTGTCTTGAACGGTCCAACGGAAACCATTAGCCTTGCGCTGGCACATCCGTAACTGGGTGCTGAAAAAAGCATAAGACTTGGCTGGTAACAGTCTCTTCAGTTCATGATTCACATTCGTCTTGCTGGTCTTCTGGCGAGTGAGGTCCCTTACTTTTGCCTTCAGCTTGCATATCTGTGACTTCAGAGACCTGATATGCATAAAAAGTTTTTTAGTAGCGGCTGTCAGGTCTGGTTGCATCGGTGGTGGTAATAAAGGTCCTGCGACAGCATTATTATCTGGTGATGATGGTGGCGACGAAGAACCTGCGACAGCATCATCATCAGGCAAGCTATGTTCCTCAAAAAACGGACTCTGTTTCCCTGTAAAAAAAAAAAAAAAGCACAACATTTGTAACTTAGATCATAAGTGAATAATTTTTTACAGCAAAAAAAACAACAACATTAAATCATTCAACAGCAGAACAAGATGTTTATACGATTTGATAGACATTTAGACTGAGAATAAGTCAACCTGTAACATAACCTAGACTCTTACGTTTCTTTGGTGGCAACTCCTGGCGTGTCTTTGGTGGTTTTCTCTTGTGCTCTATGTCCAGTGGTGGCGGTGGGTTAGGGGCATTAACCATAGTGGGCACTGCATTCCAGTTCAATCCTGCATGGCTGTTTTTTTTTATAATAAAATATTTGATGTTTATAAAATACATTTCAATATCAGTATTCTATGATTATAATACTATTACTAAATATTCTCAATTATACATACACATCTGATGGCCTTTTAAACTGGCTGGGGTGGAAGTGTGCACTGCACACCCTGTAGTTCTGATGGAGCCGCTGGGAGCTTATCCCTGTCAAGCTAGCATTCCTCAGGTTCTGCACCCATCTGGCAGACCTTCAAAATGTTGTACATAATTTCATTTATTTCACTTTCCGGAGGTGCACCTAACTAACTGTCGGTAACGTTCACGTTAACTTTAACTTTACTGGAGCTGAAGAAACATCAACGGGATCATAAATCGGATTATCATAAAGTTATCAGAGTGGATATTGCCTTCAAGCGAGCAGATAAGACTAAAATGTTTGCTAGTGGCTAACATTGGTAGGTTCAGTAACGTTAATTTAGGCAGGTTAGGGGTTCATATTTCTCTGGAAATTTGCTTTTTAAAAAGCCCATTTAGAGTCTTGACTCAATTTCGACCAAATACATAACGTTAGCTGACTGTTACTGCGGCTATGGGATAGCTTACATTAACGTTCCTACAGCACCTCTTATCGTTGACGTTAGCTCACCTTAACGTTAATAAAACACCTTTTCTACTTTACCTCTCTGGATCTTTGGGGAATCTATGAAATGCTAGTTGATTGGTTGTACACTGGTAGTTGTTGCAGTTGATGGCAGAACACTGTTTTCTTTGTTTCCAATTATTTCCAGACATAATGTTAATGCTGTATAGTTGTGCTAAAGGTAAAGCCGCTTGGTTCAGTCCAAAATGGCGACAACGGCGCCATCTAGCGATTGTTGTCAAAACTGCGAGGTGAAACTCCGTTGCCCTCAAAGCCCGTCTACGCCCATAACAATTCTTGCCACCTTCTGCTCCGGAGTGTGAATCAGACAATAGGCTTACAATCTAGATTCCACATAAAAATAAATAAAAGAAAATAATAATCTTATAACACACACACACATTAATTCATTCCCCGGCCAACACACTTTCCCATATCCCTGTTTAGCCTATCCCCCTGTTTCCTTTAAGAAAGTTAACAACCTGTGCTCTGTCATATGTCCAACAATCCTTTTAATGTTAATTCCTGCACCCCTAATTCCCTCAAATTATCACTCATTATCATTCTCTGTACCTCATACCTCCTCCTACATATTATAATTATGTGCTCCACTGACTCCTCTTCCTGACACCACTCACACAAGCCTGTCTCGTGTTTTCCTATCATTTTCAGTGATTTGTTTAGAGCACCGTGCCCCAGTCATTACCTTGTCATTACAGTTTCCTCTCTCCTGTGCCCACCACCACAGAGTTATTTTTACACTCTTTTGAATGCCTTCCTTTCTCCTCTCTGTCCCACCTTTCTTGCCACATTTGGTTAGTTTTTTGCCAGATGATATGACCTCTGCTTTTTCACTTCTTTAAAGCCCTCTTTGCCAATTCATCCACCTGCTCATTCCCTTTCACCCCTACATGTGCTGGAAGTGGAACTCACATAAATTGTACCTGTCCTCCTTGATTTGTTATCCTTGTAATTGACTGAAGGACTTCATACAACACATCCTGACAGCTTTTTGAGTGAAAAGACCTTAAACTCACAAGGACTGTGAATCAGAGCATCAGCACCTTTGCTTGTCTTGTTTTTTCCACCCATCTTAACGCAACTAACACTGCCACCATTTCCACTGTGTATACTCCTAAAAAATCTGATGTTCTTCTATTAATTCCTATTCCTTTAGCAGGTATTGCCACCCCATATCTTGTCACTCCTGTCTCAGGTTTCTTAGAACCATCTATATATGAATGAATTCTTTATAATCTTTATTTATGTGGTACTTGAATGCACTTACCAAATCTATTTGATCTTTTTCTTTCCTTTTTAACTCAATTTACCAGTCAATATCTGGCCAGATCAAATACTCCAAATTCGTTTGCTACCTCATTGCCTACTCGACTAAAATTATATCTTGCGTTCTCCCATGTCTCCTGCAACACTACTTTTGTGGGGTGGAAATCATTATGTCCCTGCAAATTAGCCCAGTCTCCTAAACAATTGAATTAATACATTCAACATTACCATTTTATCTGTTTTAAAAATGTTACATTTTTGCAGTTACATCCCAGGATACCTCTTTGAAGCAGATTTGGCAACACATGAAATCTCCCAAACGTGATTAAATATGCTTTATATATATATATATATATATATATATATATAACTTTTATGAGTTCACAACTAGTTTTCACCCTACAGAATATAAATATGCAAACATTTTATGATTTATTGGTTTTTAAAGCTTATTATGTTGCAATGTAGGGGAACACCATTTGCCACCGCAAGTGAAGAATGACCTAGCAGCATGTATTTATTAATTAATTTGTTTTGTTGTGATATTACACAGATAATGTGCGTTTCCCTGAAAATAATTAATGTTCGTCAATCCAATGAGATTTCAGACATTCAACACCTTCGTAGTATAACAGCAGTAAAAATAACAGCAATAAATGAGAGATTTTTTTGTCATAACAACATCTGCAAAAATAAAGAAGAAATTAGGTTGTCAAGTGTCACAAGTGGTCTTTTGCATGGAGTAAGTATAGGGGCATCGGGATTCTCACTTTTGAAACTTGCTTTGTTGACTGACTGGCGACAGTCTTAATATTGCTTAATATTAGTCATTCATAATGCTATTTCCAATCAAACCCCCAAAACATTGGAGATTAAAATGGATCTCCATTCTACTGTAACCCATAGTGATTTATTATATTATGTGTGTGTGCAGAATTGTGTTCCTGAGTCCTCAGTCAAGCCGAGGACAGTCTGTGTACAATTTAAGATTTATACACAATTATGGTTAAGTGTTGTGAATCATTCATGAATGATTCATTTTGTGAATGATTAATTTAACCATTTCAATTATTTAGCCTATTTGATATTAATGACTCCCTTTCCAGCCCAAAGCTGTTTTCAATATGTACTTATTGTACATTGTGCAAGACAGAGCAAAAGTGGCCTCAATAAATTCACAGATGACATCATAATGACAGTTGGCCGCTCAATAACAATGAAACCGCAAATAAATCAGAACCAGAACTTACAATTTGGTGCATCAACAAAACCCTAAACTGATCCAAAAATCTGATCTCTCAACCTGGATCTTGTAAGAAGGGTTGTGAACAAACACTTACGTCACAGTCTTGTTTCTGGGTTTGTTCTGTTCTATCCTAAATTACCACAAAATGTGACCCTGCACCACAAAACCAGTCACATGGGTCAATATTTTTTTTAAATTGAGATTTATACATAATCTGAAAGCTGAATAAATAAGCTTTCCAAGGATAGGACAATATTTGGCAGAGATACAACTATTTGAAAATCTGGAATCTGAGGGTGCGAAAAAATCGAAACATTGAGAAAATCGCCTTTAAAGTTCTACATTTATGTTCGCGATTGTGCTGCATTCTCTCACAAAAATAAATGTTGCATATATTTACGGTTGGAAATGTACAAAATATCTTCATGGAACATGATCTTTCCCTAATATCCTAATGATTTTTGGCATAAAAGATAAATCGATAATTTTGACCCGTACAATGTATTGTTGGCTATTGCCACAAATATACCCGTGCGGTGCAACTTGTGACTGGTTTTGTGATCCAGGGTCACAAATTGGCGTTTGCAATAAAACAGAACCTTTTTTAGGCCAAGGACCCCTTTGAAAATGTTTTTGGAGAAACTTTAAATACATTTTTTTTGTTGTTTTTGTATAATGTTACATTTCTTTGAAAGCCTCAAATTATGAACCAAAGAAGGAATTCATGTGCCAAACAACATCAGTCTCTTCTACAGATGTTCTGGTTATCTGTTTAGGGGAAACCTCATTATTCAAGTTATTTTCAAGTATTCAAGTTCATTTAGTTTCATTTCTGCTTCTGTCTTGCAGTCATCCATTAATTTGTACTCAAGATATTTTTTGGGTGGGGTTAGTTCTTTTTTTTTATCAGTATTGCCATGCTTGAGCTCTTCAGTCACAGGCTTACAGTCAGAGTTACAGTGATAAAGTTTGATCTTATTTACAGTATATTGATCAATTGTTTTTTAATATGCTTCAACATTTCTTTGGACTTGTTTATCTCTCGGCAGTTTCACAGCTTGTGAGTTTCACAGGTTTGTATGTTGTCTTAATTCTGTCTTTTATTATTCATGCATCTGGAATGAGACTAAATATGTTGTAAATGATCATGACTTTTTTCTTGGTCTTAAGACCAGAATAGGGAGTGTTAAATTAATTTCTGTTCAGTTAACATGTTTGAGTTTGGACTAGCGCTGCCAAAAGTTGCCTTTCTACTGCATTAGTAAAGCTTTTTTGTTGCATATGATAATAGATGGGCTTTTACATAAACCCATTACATTTTTCACTAGCTATTAAGATGTCATGGTCCCAACTATAAAATACAAAACTCTAGAGGCCTGTGGACCAGTGGTCAGTTTGCAGGTCTTAATGACTCTTAGAAAGTTATTTCTGTGTCTGCTTGTAATCCAATACTTTAGTGCTGCTCTTCTGTGCTGAATCTTCATCAGTTTCAAATCACATCCTTCTCGATATGTGTGTAACAGGTACACATGCTGATGAATGTCCTCTTCAGCTCAACCCAGAGAGAGTTATTGTGGAGTTCGGCGGTCCTGTTTCAGCCGACTGCAGCACTTCTGTCCAGCATAAAGGAATGGGATGGGAAGCCAGTGAGGGAGCAGTGGGCATGAGCAAAGACAGTCTGATCACATGGAGAGTGTCAAACCTGACAGAATGGGACATACAGCCAGTCTGCTACATAAACCATAAGGGACAGTGTGAAATTACTCTCCCAGTGACTATTTACAGTGAGTTTCTCTGTTATTGATATTGTTATATTTTCATTCTCAGAAATATCTACTATACATTGATGACTGCAGATATCAGTGTGTAAATCTTCCTCCACAGAGACTCCAGACAGTGTGTCCATCAGCACTGTGAATCACACCGGACCAATGATGGAGGGAAACCAGTATGAGCTCCAGTGTGACGTTCTCAATGTGGCTCCTGTTCAGACTCTCACTGTCAACTGGTACAAAGGACAGACTCTGGTGGATCAAACCATCTTCACTGACACCATCAAGACTCCAGTCAGTAAAACATCTAAACTCCTGATCCGTCCAGACAGAGCTGATGATGGAGCTCAGTACTGGTGTGAAGCAAAGCTGGAACTGGGAGAAGAAGGACCTCGACCTTCTCCAACAGCCCCGTCAAAACATCTTAACATTACTGTATATTGTAAGTAAGATCCGTCGGTTTCTATTAATCTTTTAAGAACATCTGTTGTCCAAATCAAGCAGATTTTAGCACTTACCGTGTGACAAGTTGTTTGGGGATAGGGATCAGATGCAATGTAACTTTTTCTTGTCAATTTTCTAAATTTGATCAATTTAGCTGAAAACTACTAAATTAAAATGATTGTAGATTAACATTTAATTTATGATGCCATATGCAATGCAAAACCTCTTACACTGCTTTTCTTTCACTCCTTCCTGCAGCTGGACCGATCATCAATGAGACCAAACTGCCCTCCATAGTGCCTGTGTTTCAAGGATATCCAGTGGTGATTGTTTGTGAAGCTGAGGGAAACCCAAAACCAACAATCAGCTGGAATCTCAGCACAACTGATATAGTTTATAGTGAAACTCTTACTATAACAGAATCAACATCTGAGGATCTGCACTGCATTGCGAGCAATTCAGTTGGCAGCACCATCAGACGTGTAAAAGTGTCCAAACAAGGTAACTGTGTTAATTTTTGTAACATTTTCCATTGTAAGTGACTCAGTTTAAAGGTGCACTATGCAGGATTTTCACAAAAAATAAAACAATAAGTATGTCATTACTGATGGTCCACTAGAAGTCAGGTGCGTTCAAGTCACTTTCGTCAGAGCAAGCAATCGTTAAAATACAGCAAGGTTTTTATACTCTACTTCTAGAAAATGAAGAACAAAGAATGTGCTTTAGGTGTGTTTTGCTTTTTTATGTTTAATAATTAATTTATGAAGCCACTGTAAACTTTATCGTTACATAATATTATATTGTTATATTACAATGTATTTGGTGCAGGCATTTAGCTTGTTATGCTGTAAATAAAAAAGCCTGACAATGTCACAGCTAAACACCGATGGCTGACACGTTTCTCACTGATATTAGCCTGGTCCCACCAGACTCTCGTACATTTCATTTGTACAGAGAGTCTGGCCTCGCTCCATTGACAAGCGTTAACTTCCTTGTAGGCGGGTACTCGGTTGAAGTTTAAAACTATTGGATCTGCCCAGAGCCACTCTGCCATAACTAATCGCTAACCGCTATCTGTAACTACGCGCTACAGTGGACGCTTCAGTACCATTATGTACCACTCTCCTCCGAGCTAAGCAAACAAATTAAATGTATTAATAATAATTTAAAACTAAATTATACGATAGAAATTACGGCAGCGCTGTGGATTATTTTCTCATTCAATATTTTTTAGGAGGCTGCTGCCTCCCTTGCCCCCTCGGAGGAAACACACACACACACACACACACACACACACACACACACACACACACACATACACATACACACACACATTGTGGGCATGATTAGAACAGGCTGGGCAACTATGGCCCAATAGATACACTTTCCTGCAGAGTTTACCTCCAGCCATGACAAAATTCACCTGCCATTAGCTTTCTAGTGCTTTCTAGTATTCCTGAAGACCTTGATTAGGTTGTTCAGGTGTGTTTGATTAGGGTTGTAACTAAACTTTGCAGGATAATGGATCTTGAGGGCCAGAGTTGCCCAACCCTGCTTTGAGTATATAGTCACACTTGTGATCTTGGCATTCAAAAATGACCACCATAGGAAATTAATGGAAAATATGAACATACAGAACATTTTTTGGTGGGTACAATCTACTAATCGCCCATGATTAAGTAGTTTCTGCTACTGTCAAATGTACGCAAATACAACCTGTGATAAAAGTAAGTAATTATGTCTGAAAATTCTCTAAGTAGGAAATATGCTGTGTAATAGCCTAGGGCTATAGGCATCTAGTACCATCTGCCTTCTTGGATATTAAATACATTTGCTCTATTTTTAACTTAATACTGTATTCAATGAAAATGAAAGAAAATATGATGATATTGTCCATTAGATATTAACAATAGCTCTTAGAACAACCTTTTAATTATGTGATATATTACTGTTCAGTCATTTAACCACAAAATGAATGTTGTGCTAAAGATTTTGAGTTTTATATTACTTAATCATTACCTGAACCTATTTTGCTTTTTCCTTTCTAGGCAAATCTCTAAACTACATTTATAGTTTTGCAGCGGCCGTTGCACTGCTTCTTATAATCATCGCATTACTTATCTATGTGTGGAAAAAGAAACAATCAACTGGAAGTTATCGCAGTCAGTAAAGCAGTATGAGCTGTACATCATGTATGACTATGTGTCAGTGTCAAAGAAGATTGTCTGAGATAAAAAAAGAAATGTTTAAAACGTATCAAGTTATTTTATCACATGACGACAATTTTTTTTCCTGTAAGTTGTTTATGCCAAAGGCCTACTAACTTTTATTTGCTGTACAAAAGTGTTATGTTGTGAGATTATCAAAGTTGCCTATGTGACAAGAAAAAGATCTCTTTGTACGAAATAACTTAATACTGTTGTTAGACATGTTTATGCATAAATGCAGATGCTGAAAAACATCACCCCAGATTCACGCTTTAAAAACTGTCTGAGGCGATGGACAATCTCCAAAGGCAGAAATTTGCTTTCTATGTTAGACAAATTTGACAACACTTTTCATTTACTCTATGTACTTCTTCTTTAAACCAATTCTTCTGTGTGTGACTTAAGCCTGTATTGAGTAATAATATGCCTGTTTTGTTCTTTTAACAAAGGGAGAAAAATGCTATACAAAAGGTTTCTTTCTTTCTTTCCTTCTCGATCCTTTTAATGAGACTTAAAAAAACATATAAACTTCTCATAATTCGGACAGTTTTTGTATAATTAGATTTTTTAAAATGCATTTCTGAATTGCTTAGATCCAAACAAGTCAGGCCTGACTATAACTGACAGCAAAATGCTTCTTTTTTATATAAAAATGGAAAATGCTTTCAGGATGTACACTACCGTTCAAAAGTTTGGGGTCAGTGAGAATTTTATTTTTATTTTTTGGAGGAAAGAAATCAATACTTTTATTTATCAAGGAATAATTAATTTGATCGAAAGTGACAGTAAAGACATTTATAATGTTACAAAAGTCTTTTGAACTTCCTATTCATCAAAGAATCCTAAAAAAAAAAAAAAACTGTACAACTGACAGACCAACAACTGTTTCAACATTGATAATAATAATAAATGTTTCTTGAGCATCATTTGACACTGAAGACACTGACACTGGTGATGCTGAAAATTCAGCTTTGATCACAGGAATAAATTACACTTTACTATATATTCACACAGAAAACAGCTGATTTACACTGGAATAATATTTAATACTATAACTGATTTTTGTTGTATTTTTAATCAAATAAGCGCAGCCATGGTTAGCAGAAGAGAATTCTTTTAAAAGTATTTAAAATCGTACCGACCCCAAACTTTTGAACGGTAGTGTATGTTTTCAAGAATATTGTTAATGATTGATGTGTGGTGTTAATAATTTAATAAAGCTAATGTCCTTTCCCCACTCACTCTAGTTCTCTTGTTTTAATTATGAAACACTATAGTAAATTTTAATTTAATTGAAAGGGTATAGGGATAGAGTAAGGTTTATTGTTGAGGTTCCCTTTCGAAAGGGAACTCAACTCGCACTGCGTTGAATGACGCTTTGGGGAACGCCTTCAGGTGTCTGAAATCACAATCAAATCACGTCAATCACATTGACCGGCGACAGCCCGTGAATCATTAATGTAAATGATTAACATGCGACCTGGAAGTATAAAAGGGCGCCTTGCAAACATGACAATATCCTTTTTTGTCTTCAGGGACTGTTTTGTCTGTAACCGCTTTGAAAATCAGGTAATTATGAAATGCTTTCAGAAGTGTGCAGACCCGTGCCCAAGATATCTGAAGCCGGGTGACACACACGAGCTGTGCATTTTTCTGTCTGGGAAGGAAGAGCGCGCACAGGCAGTTCTCGAGGGACAATATCACCCTTGTAAACCTCAGGGTGAGGTGGGAGTATTCCCCTGTGAAACACTGAGTACTTCACTTTCAGTTCTGTATTATCCTACCTCGCACTACTATGGCTCGGGTCGAGCGGAAAGCTTTAGCTTCACTTCTTCTTTTGTCGAAGTACGCTCCCCTGAAGCCAGAGCATTGCCATGAGCTGACGCCCATGCGTACAGATGGTAGGCCCCTGACTCTGGGGCCTCCGTTGAAGCAGAGTGGCGTATGTTGTACTCCCCTTGTTTTAAGGGTACTAGCTCTCTTGCTGAGTTCACTGCCATGGGCAATGTGATTAGGCACCAGGATGCTGTGTAAACAGCTTATCTGCCAACGAAGGCTGCACCGTTAGGTAGTATGGTTCCCAACAGTGTACCTTTGTAGCAGAATTGACTTACTATCAGCTAGTAGGCCCAGGGACGTGCACAGGAATTTTGAGGGGCAGTTGCTCTGACCTGAAAAAAGGGCACTCTAAACTGCTGCTAAACTGCTAAACCCAGTGCCGATCCTGACCTCCCCCTCGGGGCCCTAAGCAAAATTCTGCTAATGGGCCTCTACCTGACCTGTGACGCCGTGAGCTATGTAAACCATTTGCCATTGCCACAGTCACACCTGACACTTCAGTGCTCCCAATAGAATCCTCCCTCCTTTAAACAAAACAGTCAAAGAATAAGTACAACAATATAGAACAGAATGAGGTTCAAACAAACAATATTTATTAAATAGAGTATTTTCTATAGAATGTTAAGATAACAGTGAATATTAACGTAAACATAAATAAGAAGAAAATAAATTATAACCCTGAGCTTTGGCTTTTGGGATTAACTTTGGTTCTCTCTACAGCCTGGGTATTTTCGGCATCAGTATGATTTTTTTTTTTTTTATGCATGTTGAAGCAATTCTTGATTTATGGTTATTATTTCCTGAGGGATGTGCATCCATATTGACCAGTATGTCCAGCTAATCAACATTTTAAATTCAATATAGCCTATAAATCAATAGTCAATCAATGTCAAATTGTCAATACATTGCTTTCTATCTTGCATAATTAGTGCAGTTGTTTAGAGTTTTTAACTACACTGAGACTAGATAATCAGTGTCTTGTTTTATAATGTGTACTTTGATTGGGAGTGCCATCATTCACGTGCATGTATTGTACAGTATGTCTGGTCTCCACATATTTCTGCTTGAAAAATGCGAGTTTCATTTCGTGCACGCGCATATGAACGCACGATATGAACGCGGCAACGCGGTTATGTTTTTCGAGCTGCAGTAAACAAACTGTTGCACTTTGTCGTTTATCAAAAACAAATGTAATAAATAATTGTATTTTACTTTCACTTTTGTCAGGCACAAAGTGATGCAAGAGATGCACTGCCTGCCCAGCTAGGTTAGCAAGACCGAAAAACATCTAACTTTGCTGACATCAAACTTAGAGAGGAGAGAACACAAGTTTACCTGATTGTTGTTCCCGCAATTCACTTAAGTAATTTGCGGGGCCTTACGCACTGGTCACGTGCAGTCTATGGTCGTGTGCAGCGCTGCAGCCACGTAAACAGTTTGCCCCTCCCTTACTGACTTTCACTTTCGATGCCCGAATGGAAGTGAATGAGGCTTTGCGATTTTTTATTTTTTTATTTTTTTTATCTAGGCCTACGTGAAATTCTGCATCCATTGTAACGATTTTTTTTTTTTTTTTTTTTGGAAGGGCAACCTGAGTCGAGAAGGGCATATGGGCAGTTGCCCGGGCAACCCCCCTGTGCACGTCCCTGCCTCCAGGCCTCCCTGAAGGTGAATTCCCACTTACGCTGGCTATCAGGTAGTAGGCCTCACCAGGCCTCCCTGGAGGCAATCCCAAGGACAGGCAACTGGACAGCTAGCCTGACTTACTATCGGGTAGTTGGCCTCACCGGGCCTCCCTAAAGGGTGAGCTCCCACATGCTGTGACTCTCAGGTAGTAGGCCCCACTAGGCCTCCCTGAATAGAAACTGTCAGGTAGTAGGCCCCACCAGGCCTCCCTGAATAGAAACTGTCAGGTAGTAGGCCTCACCAGTCCTCCCTGAAGGCGAGCTCCCACGTACTGTGGTTATCAGGTAGTAGGCCTGATAGCCAGCTTCGCAGTCCCTCGGGTTAGATGCCTTACCTAAAGGCAAGTGTCCAGAGGCTCTGTCTTCGGACAGACAGGAAGTGGCCAGACTAAGTGTCTATGTAACTGACGCCAGGTCAGGCCGTCCTGGTGGCATTTCGGGGTGAGTAGGTTCCCTTGAATAGTGATTGGGTTCCTTCGGGTTCCCTAGCCACATTCCCTAGAAGGGACCCCTTCTAATTGAAGTTGTGGTCCTAGGGCTTTGAGCAGGCCCAGGTAGGCCTTTCATTTAACCATGTTTATGGAGGTTTTCCTGCAAGGCCTATAGCTTGGGCTATGACCGTAGGGAATGCTGTCACTGACAGCCCAGTGTGACCTGACGGTGAGTGGTTCTAGCATTTCATTTGAATTTGCTGGTTCGGACAGTTGTCACTGCCAATGGGTATACACTCCCCTTAGCATGGCGGCGTGGGTATATCGTTCCCCAAAGCGTCATTCGACGCAGTGTCTCGTTCCCTGTTCTCAGGGAACACAGGTTACAGTCGTAACCTGAGACGGTTTATAGCTATAATTATAGGTCTGTATTTGATTGTATAATTTTTTTTTTTTTACTAATAGGCCTAGCTGTTATTTCATAATTCATAATATTCAAAAGCTAATAAGTTAGCCTTACAAAAAACAAACAAAAAAAAAACATGAAATAAATGTAGGCTACTTGAAAAGATTGTTTTAGTCAATGATATCCTTGTTTCTTCACGGGAGGCGTACCTTAGCCTATAGGGCCATGGTTAGTATTGCGGGATGCAGACAGACCCTTCTAGTCATGTGTGGCCCTTCCCAAACTTCATATAGCCTACACTTTCTGTGTGAATGGTGTCCCATTTGTCATTTTAGGTCTCAGAAGGGTGCTCGCGAGCGCCCTGTGCGAACGATTTGCGCCCTGGATGCGCACTTTTGCCAAGCCCGCGCTGAAGCGAGCCAGTCAAAGCGGCATTACGTCACGAAAGGGCGGACTCGTAGGAAGTCGCATAGCCTACTTCCCATATAGTAGACGAAAACCAGTGTCAGTGTGAGACAAAAGCAGTAGCTTATGTCCAAATTACAGTAGGTATGATAAAAGAGGAGACAAAAAAAATGGGGGGTGGGGAAACTGGACAGAGGACCAGGACTCTCCAATGAAGAGCGGCAGACAACAGTAAGTGGTGGGCAGGACACAGGGGACTACAGTTAGGTAGCGGTAGACAGTGGATTTTCTCTTTTCACAGGACAGCATCAGACAACTGAGTGTCACCTTTCTTTCGCAGGGCAGCAGCAGGCGAAATGCAGCGGCGGGTGACAGGATCTCTCTGTTCACAGAACAGCAATGGCGAGTACAGAATCCAGCAGTTAATAACGGAGTCTTCTCTTACCCCAGGACAGCAAGGGGCAGATGTAGATCTTCACAACGACACACAGAGCTGAACTTCTCCTCTCTTTACCACAGCGGCATGAACTGGGACACCTGTACAAAGCTTTACCCCCAGCAATTCAAATTATTTCCTGACGCACCGCCGGGCTAGACGATCCCCGACAAAGATTTCAGAGTGCTGGTAGCATTTAATTTTCCCATACTCGTGCTTGCATCAAACCACTGTAAATCTTCACACGTGCTCACTTCAATCTTCAGACACTGCAATGACACACCACTTCACAGTGAAAAGTATACCTTCACTCCACCTCGTCGGGGCCGGCCAATCCACCGTCGTGATCTTCAAAAGGGGGACATCAGGTTTGACGAACGATCAAATGACTCGTTTCTCTCACGATAACAACCTGTACATTCAACAATGCTTTCACTCGTTCCGTTCTCAATCTCAATCATGCCCCGCGCCTCGACCGCACTTTATCCTTCCCGTCTCTGCTTCTGTTGCTGCCCCACCGCTTTTGCCTCTCTTGCTCTCGTGCCTCACACTTTGATGGCGACCGCTTTGCTCTTCTAGCCTCTTCAAGCCGCCGCTTTTAAATCCCCCGTTGGAGACACGCGCTCCAATGGCTGCTTGATTAGCCGCTGCAGCTGCCGCTTGTCAACGCGGTCGGCCATGACAGGCCGTCGGAACCGGCCTGGTGTCGCACCGGAAGTCTCCCCCAGGGCAACTCGTTCCGCTCCCAAAGTTCCTTCTATGTCACCCGGTGACAAAATGCTATTGTGTAGGCTAGATATTTGGGGATGACCATAATTAACCGCTTAGCCCTTAACCAACAATATGAATTTTGAACAATTAACCGTTAAACTGTAGCCTAATGCAATTTGTAAAGTTGTTTTTTTTTCAACCCATGTTAAATGTAAACTTTAAAACGTTTGCTGCAACACATATCAGTTAAAATTGCAAACATTTACAAAATTACAAAACAAACAGTGTTCTAGCCAATAACTGACAAGAATGATTTTGAGGGTTAGTGCGCGTACACATGAAGGGGGGTGTGGAGGGGAGAGAAGCATGAAGAGGGAAGTTAGAATTATAACTCTTTAAGTTTGATATGGCCGACACACGACCAAAAAGACGACGTTCCGATGAACAGATTGCAAAAATGCAAAGAAGAGGGAAAAGGAGAAGGAACGTGCAAAGTCCCGAATTTACATTGGAAAAGCCTTCGAAAGGTGGCGAGAACTCCGCCGGCAGAAGGGCTTCCAATCCGACATTCAGGTAGGCCTAGCTCTGTTTTTGCTGGACATGTGGGTAATCCAGTTTGGTTTTTCTAAATGGACTTTCATGTTCGCCTAACAAACACAAGGATAAAATTAGCTAGAACAATGCAGTCAGTGCGAACTTTGGTGAACAACATAGTTTCTAGCAGCTAGCTATCGATCTCTATTGTAAATGATCAAGCAAACTCACCGTAGGGCGACAGTTTGTGTGAATGATTGTTTTCACCCACTGTTTGTTATGAATTTGAATGTTCATTCATAGCCTAGTGACAACTTTGACTAAATTTGTTTACGACGGTGAACAATCCCTTTAACCTTGTTTTATGGACTCTTCAAATCAGATTAAAAACAAAAAAATAACAACTTTCCTTTAAAGGGGTCATGAACTGGCTTTTAAAAAAAATGTATATTGTTGTCTGAGGTCAACTTATGACGTTCGCTTGGTTTTTACATTCAAAAACATCAAAATGAATAAGTAATAGGCTATTTTCTACCCTAGTTTTGAGCCTAGCTCAAAAACGCTCGGTTTTTATGGGCGTCTCGCATTGAAGACTTAGAAGTAAACTCCCACTGCTGTGAGTGGATAACAGTTTTGCATATTATAATGAGTTTCGTGTAATGCGCTAATCGGTGGGCGGGGCTAAACCGGCCGTGTTGAAGTAGGCGTTGATCTTCTTCTGCGGGGGTGGTGTTTTATCCTCTTTGTCGTCATAGTTCCCCACTTTGAAAAACGAGTCGTTTGCTGAGCCTGGTGTCAATAAAAGCTTTTATTGGACTAACAAGGACGTTTTCAGTTCTGAAACTTACAGGATATTCTTATAATATGATGACCTCTTTAGATGTCAAAAGCTCAAGGAAAATTTGATTTCTCCGTTCATTACCCCTTTAATAAATTTCAAGATTCCAGTTAGAGCTGAATTTTCTAACATTCCCAGAAAGTTGCAGGGAATTATTTTGTAAGTCCAACAGTGGAAGAAACCCTAAACTGCTCCAAAAACTGTGTTGTGGATGAACACTAAGGGCCCTATTTTAACGATCTGAAACGCAAGTGTCAAAGCGCAAAGCGCAAGTAACTTTGTGGGCGGATCCCGGCGCTGTTGCTATTTTCCCGGCGGGATAAATGCCTCTTGCGCCTGGCGCAAATCTAAAAGGGGTTGGTCTGAAGTAGCTTCATTATTCATAGGTGTAGTTTGGGCGTAACGTGAAATAAACCAATCAGAGCGTCATCTCACATTCCCTTTAAGAGCAGGCGCGCTTGTTCTAAAGCGGATTCCTATTATAACGGCGGATTTGCCAGGCGCGCGCCAGGAGCGGTTCACAGCCGAGGAGAGCAGCGTTCTCGTCAGGGCCGTAAAACACAGAGAAGTGATATTGGGGATGTAGAAACCAACCCAAATTAACTTCTGTTAAACAGGCGTATGATAATTTGGGTAAATGTGTAAGCTATGTATGCTTTTATAATAAATTGCCTATCTATCTATCTATCTATCTATCTATCTATCTATCTATCTATCTATCTATCTATCTATCTATCGTAATAATGTATGATTTGCAAAAATGAAAACTGCTGCTTAGATGAGAGAATCAAAGTGTATGCGCGTTGTGCACACGTTACATTAATTATGGCCAAGCATGCGCCCTTAAAATAGCATAATGAACAACGCGCAACGCGCCACTGACTTTAGACTATTTTTTTCTGGTCAGTGGCGCATTTGTTACATAGAACAGCAAAATAGCATGAGGGAAAGTTTGCGCCGGAACACGCCTCCTTTTTGCGCTGAACCGCCCCGGGGAGCGCAAGTGTATTTCTTAGTTAACCGACGTGTGTCTGTGGAGGGAAAAGCCCGCTTTGCGTGGGTGCGAAATAGGAATGATACATGCGTCAGTGTACAAAGTCATTTGCGCCGAGTGCAAGATAGGGCCCTAACTCATACCTGTCAACACTCCCGTTTTTCCCGGGTTTCTCCCGTTTTTTAGCCCTATATCCCGGACCCCTCCCGGTTTGTTATTTCTGCCGGGAAACTCCCGTAATTTGCATGGCCCAAACTCCTTTATGAATAATCGGACCAATATGTTTGTCTAATGTTGACCAGTTGCCAGATTGTATTAAATGCATTATATTCACACAATCCACAGACCATTTACAATTTCAACCCGTGTGTCACCTCAACCTGGCAACCTATAACCCAGTTGCGCAGTCACGGAAAGTATAACCCGAAAGCGAGCCGATAGACATGATGGCAGGTAAAGGTGGTGTCCCCGCAATGAAACTGAAGTACAGTTTGTAACGCGTTGCTTCAGGAAGATTAGGGATAAGTTAGCTCACAACTGAAGTTATTGCATGCAGAGGCCAGACGGAGGCGATTGGCATCTCACAACTCGCACTTTATTCCCAAATCGAACTCGTGTAGCCTAACTGTCTGTCACACGTTCTACCGTCCACATCGTTACTTAATAAACAAAATAAGATCAAAATTAGCATCAAACAGAAATTACTCGCATACATGGGGTGTTCGCATAGACAGTAAAAGGGGTGTTCGAGGCCCAAGGCACATAAAATACAATACTGCCGACAGTTCAACAGGGAGCGCACAGCTCTTAAAGGGGCCACACCTTATTTCCAGTCGTTACAAGTTGTACATTTACCCCAACCCCCAATCCCCCCCCTCCCCCGCCGCCGGAGAAATCTCCCGGATTTTGAAAACCAAATGTTGACAGGTATGCCCTAACTGTTGATGTCAGTCAGTCAGATGTGTCTGGGTTTTGTCTGTTCTATCCTGGGATGACCACAGGTGGGCGCTGTGTGCAATAAAACAGAACCTTTTTTCAGGCCAAGAACCCTTTGGAAAATGTTTTTTCAGAGAAACTTAATATTTGTTTTTTTTTTGTTGGTTTTGTATGATGTCAAATTTCTGTTAGAGAATCAAAATATGAACCAAAAATAACTCGATCTATATCAGTGTCTCATCTACAGATTTCCTGGTTATCTGGTTAGTAGGGTAATACTCATTGCAAGAATTCAGGTTATTTCTAGATTTCATTTTGTTTCTGAGTAAGTTTTCCAGTCATCCAGTAATACGTAGTTTTCCTGAGGTCAACCCAGTGAAGTTTCCTCTCAAAATATTCGATGGGTGGGGTTACTTCTTTTTTTGTTTCACTATTGCGTTGCTCGAGCTACAGCTATCCAGTCACATACTTTGCAATCTGAGTTACAGTGATAAAGTTTGGACTTATTTACAGTATTTTCTGATCAATTGTTTTTCAATATGCTTCAAAATTTCTTTGGACTTTTTTATCTCTTGGCAGTTTCACAGCTTTTGAGTTTCACAGGTTTGTATGTTGACTTAATTCTGTCTTTTATTATTCCGATGCATCTGTAATGAGACTAAATATGTTTTAAACTTTAGCTTTTACTTTATTGTAGGCTAAATGACCAGAATAGGGAGTGTTAAATTAATTTCTGTTCAGTTAACATGTTTGAGTTTGGACTAGCCCTGCCAAAAGTGGCCTTACTGCATTAATAAAGCTTTTTTGTTGCAATACAAAATGACAATATGTAATGCAATATGACAATAGATGGGCTTTTACAGAAAAACCCATTACATTTTTCACTAGCTATTAAGATGTCATGGTCTCAACTCTATAAAATACAAAACTCTAGAGGCCTGTGGACCAGTGGTCAGTTTGCAGGTCTTATTGACTCTTCTGTGCTGAATCTTCATTAGTTTCAAATCACATCCTTCTCGGTGTGTGTAACAGGTTCACATGCTGCTGAATGTCCTCTTCAGCTCAACCCAGAGAGAGTTATTGTGGAGTTCGGCGGTCCTGTTTCAGTCGACTGCAGCACTTCTATCCAGCATAAAGGGATGGGATGGGAAGCCAGTGAGGGATCAGTGCCTATGAGCAAAGACAGTCTGATCACATGGAGAGTGTTAGAACTGACAGAATGGGACATAGAGCCATTCTGCTACATAAACCATAAGGGACAGTGTGAAATTACTCTCCCAGTGACTATTTACAGTGAGTTTCTCTGTTATTGATTGTTATATTTTCATTGTCAGAAATATACTATACATTCATGACTGCAGATATCAGTGTAAATCTTCCTCCACAGAGACTCCAGACAGTGTGTCCATCAGCACTGTGTATCACACCGGACCAATGATGGAGGGAAACCAGTATGAGCTCCAGTGTGACGTTCTCAATGTGGCTCCTGTTCAGAATCTCACTGTCAACTGGTACAAAGGACAGACTCTGGTGGATCAAACCATCTTCACTGACACCATCATAACTCCAGTCAGTAAAACATCTAAACTCCTGATCCGTCCAGACAGAGCTGATGATGGAGCTCAGTACTGGTGTGAAGCAAAGCTGGAACTGGGAGAAGAAGGACCTAGACCTCCTCCAACAGCCCCGTCAAAAACACTCAGTGTTGAAGTTTACTGTAGGTTTATTTATTGCAAATTTTGCTAATTTTATTCAATTTAATTCATTTATATTTCGGAAGGGCCTTCTAGTGTGAATGATTATTCATTATATGAAGTTAATTAACATTCTAAGTATTAATTCAGTTAAATTAATTGACAATATGAATTAATGTTCCTCTGTCCTTCTCAGATAAACCAAAACACTCCAGTTCAACAGAGACCATCAATATAAATGATGAGCTCACACTAAACTGTACAGTGAAGGCAAACCCGTCTCCTACGTACTCATGGCAGTCAGAACATCTGAAAGAGACGATCAAGTCCTCAGTGCTTCTGTCCTCCACGCTCAGTTCAGGAAACTACACGTGCATCGCCTCAAACTCTCAGGGAAGAGACAGCAAAGTGTTCATCCTCACATCTACAGGTGGGTAATAAATGAAAAGACAAATGAACTGCATATCCTCTGTCTGTTCAACAAAATGTATAATTTACAGTAATTATTTTTTGCTTATATTTGAATATGATCTTATCATATTCAAAGTCATTGTCATGTTCATTAAGACATTTTGCATTAAATTTCTTTTTATTTATTTAGCTTAGTCATTTTGCTCTGATTGAAAATGAGGAAGGAATTTGAGGGCACATTTGTGAAATAACTGATGACTTACTTGAGTCATTTGTACTGATATATGACGACAAATTCTTTCTGGATGTCGGGTCGGGTGTTTCTTCAGCAGCTCCAGCTCTGCTCTTCTCTCTTCTGTAACTGTAGACAGGGATTGAGCTTTGAAAACATTGTTTGAGTGTGTGTTTCTGTCTGTATACCATCATTCACACAGCTCTTCTTTCACAGGCAGTCGTCCCACATTCTGGATTCTGCTTATCCTCTCACAGTTTCTGATTGCATCGATATTTGTCATATAGGAGAGAAATAGCTGTAGAATTGGGGGGTTTTCCCTCCAAAATGGGACTCATTTGCATCGAATCCATAAAAATGCTGTTAACTTGTAGCGCTTCACCAATCATGCGTATGAAGGCAATGTAATTGAATGACTTGATGCATGATCAGGGAAACTGCTATTGCACATCCCTTTTATTCATAAATAAAATTCCTGCCTTTGAATATTAGCATGAAATTTAACTTCTGATAGTCACTTAAAAGACAATTTTCTTGAATGTTTACTTGGATTTTGTTTAGATTTATTTTTTTAAATTATTGGACAAAATAAATTACCACTTTGAAATCTCACCACATACAAAATTATGGTAAATATTATTGCCTTAACCCAATGTTTTGTATGTTAATATATTATTTGTTTTAATTTTTGATACCATATATCTGTCAAAATACATGTGACACATAACATTGAATCACTTTTTTTTAAAGTAATATTAAGATTTTAGGTTTAAATCTATGTATATCATAGGTTCTTTAACTGTTTTCCTGCCAGTCTGTCATTTGTATTAATAAACAATATTTACTTTTATATGATAAACAATTATAGCAGTGTTGATGTCTGTAAAATGTGGATCTAGAAATCTGGAAAAGGAAAAAAACAACAACTGAGAACCACTAATGTACATGACATCATTTTAAAGGAAAACTAAGTAAATGATAAAATGTAATTTTTTGACATTATTGTTTACAACAGCAGTATTCTAGTATATTAGATTGTTTGTCATCTTGTAATATCTCAATTAAAAGTATTGAGCATTAATCATTCATTGCTTTGTGTGTGTAACAGGTTCACATGCTGCTGAATGTCCTCTTCAGCTCAACCCACAGAGAGTTATTGTGGAGTTCGGCGGTCCTGTTTCAGCCGACTGCAGCACTTCTGTCCCGCATAAAGGAATGGGATGGGAAGCCAGTGAGGGAGCAGTGCCTTTGAGCAAAGAAAGTCTGATCACATGGAGAGTGTTAGAACTGACAGAATGGGACATAGAGCCATTCTGCTACATAAACCATAAGGGACAGTGTGAAATTACTCTCCCAGTGACTATTTACAGTGAGTTTCTCTGTTATTGATTGTTATATTTTCATTCTCAGAAATATCTACTATATATTCATGACTGCAGATATCAGTGTGTAAATCTTCCTCCACAGAGACTCCAGACAGTGTGTCCATCAGCACTGTGAATCACACCGGACCAATGATGGAGGGAAACCAGTATGAGCTCCAGTGTGACGTTCTCAATGTGGCTCCTGTTCAGAATCTCACTGTCAACTGGTACAAAGGACAGACTCTGGTGGATCAAACCATCTTCACTGACACCATCATAACTCCAGTCAGTAAAACATCTAAACTCCTGATCCGTCCAGAGGGAGCTGATGATGGAGCTCAGTACTGGTGTGAAGCAAAGCTGGAACTGGGAGAAGAAGGACCTCAACCTCCTCCAACAGCCCCGTCAAAAACACTCAATGTTGAAGTTTACTGTAGGTTTATTTATTGCAAATCTTGCAAATTTTATTCAATTTAATTCATTTATATTTCGGAAGGGCCTTCTAGTGTGAATGATTATTCATTATATGAAGTTAATTAACATTCTAAGTATTAATTCAGTTAAATTAATTGACAATATGAATTAAAATGTTCCTCTGTCCTCCTCAGATAAACCAAAACACTCCAGTTCAACAGAGACCATCAGTAAAACCAAAGAGGTGACGCTAAACTGTACAGTGAAGGCAAACCCGTCTCCTACGTACTCATGGCAGTCAGAACACCTGAAAGAGACGATCAAGTCCTCAGTGCTTCTGTCCTCCACACTCAGTTCAGGAAACTACACGTGCATCGCCTCAAACTCTCAGGGAAGAGACAGGAAAGTGTTCATCCTCACATCTACAGGTGGGTAATAAATGAAAAGACAAATGAACTGAATATCCTCTGTCTGTTCAACAAAATGTATAATTTACAGTAATTATTTTTTGCTTATATTTGAATATGATTTTATAAATGTTCATTAAGACATTTTGCATTAAATGTCTTTTTATTTATTTAGCTTAGTCATTTTGCTCTGATTGAAAATGAGGAAGGAATTTGAGGGCACATTTGTGAAATAACTGATGACTTACTTGAGTCATTTGTACTGATATATGACGTCAAATTCTTTCTGGATGTCGGGTCGGGTGTTTCTTCAGCAGCTCCAGCTCTGCTCTTCTCTCTTCTGTAACTGTAGACAGGGATTGAGCTTTGAAAACATTGTTTGTGGGTGTTTCCGTTTGTACCATCATTCACACAGCTCTTCTTTCACAGGCAGTCGTCCCACATTCTGGATTCTGCTTATCCTCTCACAGTTTCTGATTGCATCGATATTTGTCATATAGGAGAGAAATAGCTGTAGAATTGGGGGGTTTTCCCTCCAAATTGGGACTCATCTGCATGGAATCCATAAAAATGCTGTTAACTTGTAGCGCTTCACCAATCATGCGTATGAAGGCAATGTAATTGAATGACTTGATGCATGATCAGGGAAACTGCTATTACACATCCCTTTTATTCATAAATAAAATTCCTGCCTTTGAATATTAGCATGAAATTTAACTTCTGATAGTCACTGAAAAGACAATTTTCTTGAATGTTTACTTGGATTTTAATTAATTATTGGACAAAATAAATTACCACTTTGAAATCTCACCACATGAAAAATGATGGTAAATATTATTGCATTAACCCAATGTTTTGTATGTTAATATATTATTTGTTCCATATATCTGTCAAAATACATGTGACACATAACATTTAATAACTTTTTTAAAGTAATATCAAGATTTTAGGTTTAAATGTATATCATGGGTTCTTTAACTGTTCACTGTGAAGTTTAGAACTGTTTTCCTGCCAGTCTGTCATTTGTATTAATAAACAATATTTACTATATTTTAGCAGTATTGATGTCTAGTGTAAAATGTGGATCTGGAAATCTGGAAAAGGAAAAAAACAACAACTGAGAACCACTAATGTACATGACATCATTTTAAAAGAAAACTTAATGATAAAATGTAATTTTTTGACATTATTGTTTAGCAGTATTCTAGTATATTTGATTGTTTGTCATCTTGTAATATCTCAATTAAAAGTATTGAGCATTAATCATTCATTGCTCAGGTCATCTTTTAAATGTCTTATGTACTCTGTGAATGTGAGCTGAGCACAAGTTCAGTAGTGCCAGTAGTATATATGAGGGAGCTTGTGTCAAAAATGATTTATGACCCTAGATATGATTTTTATGACAGGTTATGATTTATGATTATGAATATGATTATGAAATATTTATGACAGGATGTGTAGCAGGGATGGGGGTTTTATGACCACCAGATGGTATGTGAACTTTTGACCCCGACCATGTGTGTCCGGAGTTTATGGCTATGTGTTTGTGTTTGTGTGTGTGTGTTTATGACGGGGCAATTTGCTTGGTGTGACTGAGAGGAATGTTTTCAGGGAAAGTTTTTATTATATCAGGATAATGTTCACAGAACGCCGAAATTATGAACATGAGGAGGTCTGACACGGATTTTCAGCCGGCACTGCATCATCCATATTGTCTGCTGGGGAGAATGAAACAAAATGAGTTTAAAGAAATAGCATTGATGACAAATAAAAGCTTATAAAATAAAACTTCATTATATATTTTAAAGCAAAGTTTTAAAACAACTCTTGAAATTAATGAGGAGGTATTTATGCGTCTATCTGGTTAGTCACAGACTCTTAAACCTTTCTGATCAGATGAAATGTCAAAAAAATGAGTTTAAAGAAATAGCATTGTGCTTGAATAAAGCACATAAATAGTGATTAATTTTATTAAACATTTAAAGTAAGTTTTAACATGTGCTGAACTTAATTAGGTATCCTTTATGCGTCTGAATATTGTTGCGGATTCTTAAGTCTTTCTGAGCAGATGAAATATCACAAACAGTTTTAAGAAATGAAAAGCACTGTGCTCGAATAAAACACATGAATAGTTATTAAATGAAGTAAGATGTTGAATTGACTATAAGCATTTTAATCAAATACACCCCAATATACTGTCTTAAATAAAACAGTGAATAACAGTTCATTATTTGAAACAATATGTCGAATTGACTATAAGCATTTTAATCTATACATCAGTGGTATAGGGTCTTACGCAGATCAATAAAATAGTGAATAATAGTTTATATTATTTTAAATAAGATGTTAAATTATCATGTATTTTAATCTAATACAACACAATATAATACATCACAATATGCTGTTTTACACCAATAAATAAAATAGTGAATAATAGTTGATATTATATGAAATAAAGTTAAATTATCAAGTATTTTAATCTAATACACCACAAAATACTGGCTTACACAGATCAATAATAGTGATGAATAATATTTATATAATATTAGTTATATAATAGTAATGAATTATAGTTCACATTATTATGGTTATATAATATATAATAAGAGGTTAAATTATCCACAATATATGGTTTTACAAAGTTAAATAAAACATAAAATAGTGAAAATAGTTTGTACTATTTGAAATAAGATGCTAATTATCAGGTATATAAGCATTTTAATATAATACGCACAATATACTTTCTTATACACCGATAAATAAAATAGTGAATAATAGTTGATATTATATGAAATAAGATTCTAAATTATTACGTATTTTATTCTAATACACCACGAAATACTGCCTTACATAGATAAATAAAAACAAAAAATAGCGAATAATAGTTGATATATTATATTAAATAAGTTGTTAAATTACCAAGTACACACATTTTAATCTAATACAGGTTCCTAGGTTCCAATATTCTATTGCATCTTCACTTCACTGCCCACTATGTTGTCTGTTGTCTGCAATATACTGACTTACATAGATAAATAAAACAGATAAATTAGTGAAACATATTATTTTAAACAAACTGTTAAATTACCAAGTATACAAACTTGAATCTAATACACACGAAATACGACCTTACACAGATAAATAAAACATATAATATAGTGAATAAGAGTTCATATTATTTGAAATAAGATATTAAATTATAAAGTATAAGCATTTTAATCTAATGCACAACAATATACTGCCTTACACAGATAAATAAATATATAAAACAGTGTTTATACGAAATAAGATGACATTTTATTAAGTATTTAAAACTAGTTTTAAACGTATGTTGAAGTGTACCTACCATTGGTGAAATTAGGAGGTCTTTTTGGCTCTGGTTAAAATCACAGATCCTTGAATTTCTGAGGTGTTTGCTCTCCGTTTGCTAAATTGAAAATGAAGATCGCTTCCATCATGTCCGGGGCAAGGGTCCGCCCCTTCCTCTCTGTGTAGCTGCTATCTTATGCTAGGTAATAGCATTAGCAGTTTGTTTCAGAAAACATCAAGCAATTAAAAGATAGTGCGGCCACATGGTGTTTTACAATCAAAGACCACAACTGTCTCCAACCATAAAATCTTCTGATCTGAAGCATTCCTTTCTGGCGGGGAGACCCCAAAATGGGGCCATTTTGACACTTCACACGGACCAGGCTGTAAGATCAATATAATTAGATGTTTATACCGGCGTCTTCAGGAAAAAGTCAAAACAAAATGGTCGCAAAGTTACATATTATATAGCCTACTCTTATCCATTGATTGTGATGATAAGATAAATTGTCCTTATTTCCTGGGGAGTTGTCCCCATCCTGTTTTTCTTGACACCTCAATGACTCCTTTTGAAGAGCAGGTTTATTTTTCTAACATTTAAACTTACACATTAGAACACCCTCTGACTTTATGAATACACATAAATTACATCTTAATGATTTTTTTATTATTTTTGTGCATTTATTTAAAGTATGCATGCGGGCCTACCATTCTGACACTAGTGATACCTTACTTCTTTGATAATATTAAAGGTTTTATGAAATATTATTTCTAATTTTTTCAGCACATGTAGTCAGAGTCACAGAAAATAATATTAGTGCAACAAATAAGGAGATTATGTTTTATTTATTTTGATCAGGTTTGTTAAAAGTATGCCTGAATGATGTTAGTTAATCTGCACTGATGATGCATTCCTTTAAATCTTAACTTTGAGAGCATCAGAATTAAATGGATGTAAAATTAAAATTGGACAGTAACACCAATGACACAACAAATCACCAATGCCACACATAAGACCATAATTAGATGAGACTAAATTGTTACATTTGGTATACAATCTAAATGAATAGCTTTGAATAAAGTTTATCTTTAAATGGGGATTTTACTTAACAGTATCTGCTCAAAAACTTTACAATTTTAATGCAAAACTGTGCTTTGTCGTCTTAGATCTAATTTATACAAAGATATGTAAGCAGTATTTTGTCCATCGACACACAACAGCAAGCAGTATTCCTGTTACCGTAACTGTTTAGCCTTTTCCACTATCAAAACATTTCAAATGGATGCATTCGACAATATACGGCTTATTACGGTAATTTCAGGCTTTTCGCCAGCAAATGACGCCAGCTTTCTGACAGAGCGGGGTCGCGGAAGGATTTGAATGTTGAACAGAGAGATACGGAGCGCAACAGGACAGGGTGTTTTGGACAGCGTAAATAATAAAAGAAAGAACGAACAAAAACATAGTGATTCAAGCGGTAGACAACAGGTGAGGTGTTTGGGATGATTTTTTACAGCTTTTTATGAAACTTGGGAGGTGGATGGCCGAATACTCTTTCAAGTATCTTAGCATGCGGTGTATGTAAAGTTGTGTATACGTAGGCTATTTGTATATGAGTGCGTCGCGTATGAAAAAAGTATCCTAAATGAAAACTATGCAACTCCATGTCACGCACAAAAATACTTGTATATGTGCATTATAGTTATTTTAA